AGAGAGAGAGAGAGAGAGAGAGAGAGAGAGAGAGAGAGAGAGAGAGGAGAGAGAGAGAGAGAGAGGGGCCTTCATTTTCAGTGTATTTCCAAATACAGCATGGGTCTTTTCCAACCTATCTCATTTTGATTATTTTTTTGAGACAGAGTCTCTAGATAGCCCCAGCTGTTCTGGAACTAACTCTAGACCAGGCTGGCATAGAACTCACAGAGATCCACCTTGCCATTGCCTTCCAAGTGCTGGGATTAAAGATGTGTGCCACTATGGCCAACCCAATCATTTGGAGGGTCAGAGACACAGTGCTGGAATCAAGGCTAAGAACTCAGGTGCCCAGCCTTTCCTTTTACCTCTGGTAGTTAAAGGGGGCTCTGCACTGGAAGAGGGCACATGGCCCCTAACTATAAACCACAGTACTTGGGAGGCTACAGGCAGAAGGATAGCAAGTCCAAGGCCAGCCTAGGAAAGTTTGCATGATTGCATTAAAAATTGTCATTTGGCTTAAGAATTTTACTCAAAATACATTTAGCCAGACTCTACCTTAGTTCCTACATCAAAAGACCTTCAAGAGGTTAGGCCAGTGATTCCCTGGGAAGGAAACACAATACAAGCCTGTTTCCAATCTTGGCATTCTGCAGTCACCTTTTATTTAATGCAACCATGAAAACTTGGTGGCATTACCAATTCTATTCCCAAAGACAGGGCAGTTAGCTCCTGTCTGTATGAGAGGCTAACCTCATTTGTTTGTCATGAGGCCAGCTCCAAGTTGTTGTCCTTTTCTTGCCCAGATTGCAATCCCACTTTGACAAGGTCTCTTAAGACAAAACCTAAACACACACACAGCCTTTCTCAGTGTCAGATGGAAAATAGGTGGTGGTGGTGGTGGGTCTTGTCCCATCTGACCACACTCTAACAACATAAGCATAAAGAACACACAGCAACACCCCATACCACCCCAAGTCTGTATGGACTGAAAAAATATGCTACTGTGTACCAAGCACTGGCTAGAGAGCTCTGGGTTCTCAGAACTGTGCCCTCCATGGTTTGGTGATGTCAGCAGGCGGTGCAAGACACATGTAAGTATGGCTCTTCATTTCTCAGTCCTTTTGTTTCTAGGGAGACTGCATAACAGGCCTTGCTTCCGTTACATTCAATACCAGCAAAATTTTACACAAAAAGCTGGAAGGGACCAAAATACTGATTGTAATAAATTATGTGCGGCCTCCTCGAGTGGACTGGGCAGCTGATGGAGCTTCTCAGAGGCACCAACCACCTCTGTGTGTTCTGCACAGACTGGCATGGCCACTAGCTGTGTGTGGACACATCAGAGGAAGAGCTGCTGTTGCTGTTGGTGGTCTGGGCCCTCTTTATGTATAAGTTCAGCAGCTTCATCTGCAGAGAGAAGAAAAACAAAGATGAGTGAGCAGAGGAAATCAGCAAGGAGGAGAGAGGTCTGCAGTTTGATGCCCGAAGACAGTTGGTACCCAGTTGCTCTGACTGCTGTTGATTAGCTCAGGGTCTAGGTTATACAGGGAGAAATTAAAGAGAACAAGTGACCCAAAGGTTGGGCTGCCAGGACTGCTAAGGAAGGCTCATAGGGGTGCGGCCAACATAGCACAGGGATAAAGCCTCCACACCTGTGCTGCAGCTGCTCCTTCCCCCAGAACCCCTTACAGACACCTACTGATGCCAGCCACACCTGAGATTATTGTGGTTGACTCCATGACACCTATCATGGTTTTGATTTTCCCCAGCATTGCAAAAAGAAAAATAACAAACAAACAAGATAAAGTTAAGCATGGTGTGGTGGCTGGTGCCTACAGCAGGAAGACAATTTTGAAGCCAGTCTGGGCCACAGAGCTAGACCATATCTCAAAAAATCCCAAAACACTGGGTTAGTGAGATGGTTAGTGAGATGGTGTTAGTGAAAGATAAAGCACTTTCCTGAGCCTGATGAGTTGAGTTTGATTCTCAGGACTCAAATGGTAGAGAGAACCAAGTGGCAAGTTGTCCTCTGATCTTCACATATGTGCCACGTCATTTGTAGGACCACTTACACACACACACACACACACACAGCAAAAACTACAAACACAAAGAAATCCAAAGCCAACCATGTGGTACTGGCATAAACACATAAACACTTAGGCATACGTGAATCGGTGGAATGGCACAGAACCCGCAAGGAACCCTTCCCACAGATATTTTGACAACGGCATCAAGACTGTGATGGAAAGAAGATTATCTTTACAGCAAACGATAATGCTAGGAGATGGATAGCTATCTGCAAGAGAGTCAAGTTTAACCTTACCCAACACCATAGACAGAAATTAACCCAAATGGAGCCAGCTAGGTATCCAATAGCAGAGGAATCATAAGGAAAATGGGGTTCACATACACAATGGAATCTTTTCAGCCATAAAGAATAACAAAATTATGCCATTTGCAGGAAAATGGATGCAACTGGAGATAATCATATTAAGGGAATTAAGCCAATCCCAGCCAATCCCAGAAAGACAAACACTTTGCTCTCGTATGTGGTTCCTGGGATGTACATGGGAGTATGAAATCATGTATCTGGCATGACAGTGAGGCAGAAGCAAAGCCGCCTGCATTGGCAGCACAAAAGGGACAGGCGGGATGGGAAGGGGCAGAGTTAAAAAACACAAGTGAATCACAAACCCGAATCTAATAAACCTAAGAGCTTAAAATCCGAAACTCACATGAAAGCTAGACAACAGTTTGATGACAGTGGATGTGGTAATATTTTCTGGAATGGGACTCCAAAGGTCCAGGAAACAAGAAAAACAGACAAATTTACTCCTGGAAATTAAAAAGTATATGCAGCAAGGCACAGTTAACAGAGCAAGAATCTTTAACCCACATGAGGGAAGAGGCATGAATAAACCATATATATCAGAAAGGGCTGGGTGCTATTTTTAGATTGATTCATTTGTAAGTCCAACTCCCTTTATGGATAGGGCCTTGATGGTGGTCACTATAGCCAAGCCACCTCTGAATCCCTGTGGAGGAGGCAGAGGAGGAGAGGAGGAGGGGAAAAGCTGTGTGATTATCACTACCATTTTTCATTAACAGTTAAGAAAGCAATTGGAGCCAGGTGTAGTGTCACACACCTTTAGTTCCAGCACTCGGGAGACGGATAGATCTGAGTTTGAGGCTAGCCTGGTTTACAGAGGTAGTTCCAGGCCATCCTGGTCTACAGAATGAGTTTCAGGACAGTCAGGGCTTCACAGAGAAACCCTATTTGGGGGGTGGGGGGGGAGCAATCTGATCAGAGTCCTGGCAGGAGGGAGGTGGAAGAGCATGGAGATTGGGTCAGGTAAGGGCAAATCTAGCATCCATCCTTCCATCCATCCATCCATCCATCCATCCATCCATCCATCTTCTCATGTAACTTAGGCTAGCCTTTAACTTGACCCACCCACCCATCTGTCTGTCTATCCATCTATCCAGAGTCTCATGTAACTCAGACTAGCCTTTAACCATGTAGCTGTAGATGATCTTGAATTTCTGATCCTTCTGCCTCCACCTGAGCATTGGGGTTACAGGTGAAAACTACCAAACCAGGTTTATGCAGTGTCGGGGTGGAACTCAGGACTTTGTGCACACTAAGCAAACACTCCCTAGGCTCATCTACCTCACCCCCACTTGCTTCTGTTGCCTCTTTCCATCTGTCTTCAGAGTATGTTCTCTGGACTAGTGGTTCTCAACTATACATAGTTTTGCTCTCGGGGGACATCAGACCATGTGTAGAGCCTTTAAGGGTAATGACCTTACAATTAAAGGGACAGCTACTGGCATGCAGATGGTGGTTGGGGTTGCTGGCCAAACTTCTGACACTGTACACATGAGCTTCCATAAGCAAGTGGCCCCCAGGGTTGCTGGGGAAACCGGCCATTGCTGCCCTGGCTATGGCGCAATCCAGTAGTGTCAAAGCAGCAACTGAACTGAACGGAAGCACTGCCCTGCATATTTCTTCTCAGACAGGGAGCAGGGCACTCTTGGCAGTGTGCACCCTCGGCTGGCTGGACAGAATGACTATTCTTGCCCCTTAGGGAATCCTGTCTTGTGGCAAGGCATCATGAATACTAAGGAGTGAGGCTGTGGCTCTGGTGCTCCCCAGCTGTGTCAAAGTGACAGCCCAACTTGAAACACATCACACTAGAAAATTCCTCTCACAGCTGGGCGTTGGTGGTGCACGCCTTTAATCCCAGCACTCGGGAGGCAGAGGCAGGTGGATCTCTGTAAGTTCGAGACCAGCCTGGTCTACAAGAGCTAGTTCCAGGACAGCCTCCAAAGCCACAGAGAAACCCTGTCTCGAAAAACCAAACCAAACCAAACCAAACCAAAAACCATGAAAATTCCTCTCACAAGGAGCAGGGCCTGTGCCCTGGATTCTGCTCTCACTGGCATGCCAAGTGTATGGAACAGGGCCTGAGGTGCAGCAGGCCCAGGGCGAGGCTGCCATTCCCACTGTTGATGTCCACAAGGCACTTAACTCTAGTTCAGCAATTTGTTCAAGGATGATGTAATCTTTTTTTTTTTTAATGTAAAGGATTTTTATTTATTTTTATTTTATGTACATTGGTGTTTTGCCATTGGAGTCAGGTATCCTGGAATTGGAATTACAGACAGTTGTGAGCTGCCATGTGGGTGCTGGGAATTGAACTCAGGACCTCTGGAAGAGCTTATCAGTGCTCTTAACCACCAAGCCATCTCTCCAGCCCCCAGGTAATCTTAAAATAATTTATTATTATGTGTATGTGTCTATGTGCATGACACAGAATGCATGTGGAGTTTGGATCTCTCTCTCTCCACCTTTATGTGGGTTCTAGGGATCAAACACAGGCTGTCAGGCTTCATGACAGGCACTTTTACCCCCTGAACCAACTTGCCCACCCTGAGGTAAATTTCTTTAGTGATTCCATGGGGGAAGGGGGTGGGGGAAACCTGGTTTCTGAGCAACGTTACCCTTGCTCAGCAGATATTCTTTCAGTAGATCTACTGAAAGTTAGGTAGTCTTTTTAAAACCAGTGAGAGTGGCCAATGGTGTGCCTGTCATTCAGCACCCCCATCCCATGGCTTTACTACATAGCCAGTCATTTTCACCTTAGGGAAAAATGCCTTCTGAGAAACCAGACAGCTAAACACACCTAATGAAAAGAGCCAAGGAGCTCACGATGAGCTGGCGGCCCCGGTGCGGGCAACAGCAGGTAACACTATACATACCTTGCTCCCCGTGAGCTGTGCCAGGTGAGGCTTCAGATCTTCTCCGATTACGGAATAGATTGCCACTAAGCAAAACACGCTGGCCTTCCGTACACTGCTCTCGGTGTTGTCATAACCCTAGAGAGTCGAAGGGGAACAGAGAGGAAGTCAGATCAAAGCTGTGCCTCCAGCCAGTGCTTCAGCAATGCTTCCACAGATGCCCTCGGAGTGCAATTCTGGACTTGTAACAATCACATAGATCTGCACGTGAATCCAGAGAGCATCTGCCTTGGAGGGTCCAAAGTGACCGGCTGCATGAGTGTCATGCAGGGGCAGGAGGACGCGTGTGCCAGGCGGGCTGCTTTCTTATATATATCTGACACTACAGATGGCCAGAGGGAGGAGGAATGGAAAGAGAAAACTCTGGGGAGCTATAGAGAAACAAATGCCTCATCCAGATTCCTCCTGGTGGTAGAGAGGAGCAAACTGCCTGAGTGGAAAAGAGAGGGGTATAGTTCAGCAGGCAAAGGCATGTACTGCCAAGCCTGATGTCCAGGATTCATAGCGTGAAAAGAGAAAATGGGAGGGCTGGAGAGATGGCTCACTGAGAGATGGAGCACTGACTACTCTTCCAAAGGTCCCGAGTTCAAGTCCCAGCAACCATATGATGGCTCACAACCATTCTCTATGAGATCTGGTGTCCTCTTCCGATGTGCATGGAAGCAGAATGTTGTATGCATAATAAATAAAATAAAATCTTTAAAAGAAAAAAAGGAGAAAATGGGAGTCCCCTCAAGCTGTTCTCTGACCAACATGCATGCACACGAGTGTATGCATACACACTTAAAACAAAACAAAACACTACCAGTCATTCCTAAAAGCAAGATTTCTCTACTGTTCAGGGACTGCAGGGACTTAGTGTGTCCCTCATGTCCCACCTAAAATGGGGCCATGCTCTTTGCTACAGATAGCCATGACAACTGTACAGCCTTTGTTTTCCCCTCCATATGGGATACTTTTCAACAGTAAGTCCAAACAAACCCTGGTAAACAGAAAACAGCAGCATGCAAGAAATGGGAAACTAGTTTCCCCACCTTTCTTCATTGATGCCCACTCTTTATGTGATACAGTACAGGATACTGTCACTTGCAGCTGCTATGTGGTCCTACCATGTCTCATAGAAGGCTGTTTCATCAATCTGCCCAGCTCACTGCCTCTTGGGCAGGAGAACACTCCATGTGCCCCTTTGGCCCAGGGCTGATCCACAAGAGGTAAGCCACAGGTGTTTGTTGAAGCAATGAACAACATTATCTTTACACTAAACTGAAGGTTCATTCCTTGAACTGCAGGGGCTGATTTGGGCTATCAGTTATCTTTTGCTGCAATGTAGGAGCAAGTGGGCTAAGATGTGTTTGTGCAACCAACATCCTGTCATGGGGGTAAGAGAAAGGCCATGAGCCCCTGACCTCTCATTCAAGTATCCACAGATAGTTAATGGTTGCTGGGAAAGGGAGAGACATTTTCTTCAGTGGTGCAGTACTGGCTAGGTACTCTTCTTCCTGTGAATAGCCCCCTACCCACACTCCTATAAGCAACCCACCAGGTTGTCAAGGCATATAAAATATTTCTAGTCTAGTCACCAGTGGTTGTGCGTTCTTGAGAGCCTCTGCCTCATTAGCAAAGACTAATGAGGTAGACTGACTAAAAGGGCTGTGCTAGATTTTAATGAATTAAAACAAGCATCAGCTAGAGAACACTGAGCTTTTAAAATCAAACAAACTAGCAAAAAGTAAACAAATAAATACATGAAAGCAGAAGGAAGGGGAAAGGGATCCTTGGGAGAAGAACAGGAGATGGCAATAGGGGACAGACACAACAAAATGCATGGAATGGAAAGGCCACAACCAAACTCATTTTCTTTCTTTCATCTCCTCCCCCTCCCCCCCCCCCCACACCCAGGGTTTCTCTGTGCAACAGTCATGGCTATCCTGGAACTCATTTTGTAGACCAGGATGGCCTCGAACTCACAGAGATCTACCTGCCTCTGCCTCCCAAATGCTGGGATTAAAGGCGAGAACACTTTATAAATAGAAACGATGTGGGTCCCAAGGACAGTGTCATCACTGCTGCTTCCGGTCTGCCCCTCTTCATGCTGAGCAGCCTGAGCTGGGGAACAGGCTGCGTACCTGCAGCAAGCCTGGGATGATGTCGACGAGGAGCTGCAGCAAGGACTCCTTGGTGATCCTCTCTACCACTTTTGTCTGCATCTTGATGGCAGCCAGGTTGATGGGGTAGTCGGCTGTCTGGATGATTGGGCACAGCACTTTGATGCACTGCTCTGGGTGGATTGAGCTGGCTAGTGTCGATGCAGCTTCTTCAGCAGCTCTCACCACCTGGAAAGGGACCACAGAATGAGAGGCGCTTGCCTCAAGAGTTTTGAAAGAGACCAACACCACTCCTGCCACACTCCAGAAGCCAAACACAAAGACCCACTTCCTCTGATACTGCTAAGGAAAATTAAGAGCAACCTGGCTTGTTGTGTGGGACAAGGAAGTACGGGCCTGGGGGTTGGGGCCAAAACTTGGGCAGAGTGGTCTCTGAATGTGTTCCCCACTCAGGTGGCAGCAACTGTACCTGCATTCACAGTAATACCCACCACCTTGAGATCTCCTTAGCAACAATGCTTCTCAGCCTTTCCCCAGGGTGGTGTCTAAGAGAGGGACCCCTCAGGCAATTCTTACCATAGTAGTAGAGGATCTCTGCCCTGGGAGATTAGGACCTTAAAGTACTTCCTAAGGGCCAACAGGACCCTCTGATGCAAAGCCTCCTGGAGGAAATCAGTGTCTTTTATACTGATGTCCCCTAGGAGGGGCTGAACTGCAGGTGGCAGGGCAGGCTCTAGGAGAAGGCTGTGCTTTCCTAGGGAATCCCTTGTGGGAAGCTGGTGCCCAGGAATCTATGCCCATGATGCATTTTACCTTGTAGCTTAAATTTTCAGTCAACTAATTAATTATATCCATCCATCTATTGGAGAAAAAAATCCGTCTCCTAGATTGGGTTTTAACTCATTATATAGCTGAGGGTGACCTTGAATTTCTGGTCTTCCTGCCTCTACCTCCCGAGTGCTGGGGTTACACACATGCACCACCAGGACGGTTTATGCAGTGACAGGGATGGAGCCCAGGACTGCATTCAGGCAAACACTCCAGCTGTGTGAACTATGTTCTCAGCTCCCTGCTTGCACTTCTCAGGATTTTTTGTTTATTTGAGACAGAGTTTTCCTATGTAGCCTGTCCTGGAACTCCCTCTGTAGACCAGGCCTTGAACTCACAGAGATCCGCTTGCCTCTGCCTCTTAAGTGCTTGGATTAAAGGTGTGCTCCACCCTACCCAGTTGAGAAATCTATAGCCTTTTAAAATACATTTTAAAAGTTACTTTAATTATGCACATGTTGTGTGGTTATGTTCACATAAATGCCCGTGGAGGTCAGAGGTGTCAGATCCCCTAAAGCTATAGTGACAGGCAGTTGTAAGCTGTCTGATGCACGGTCTGTTATAGGGGCAGGAGGTATTCTTAGCCACTGAGCATCTCTCCAGTCTACCCTGCTGCCTTTCTTTTCAGCTCAGAAGTTCTTTTGCCCACTGAGCCATCTTGATGCCCCCATGCCCCATCCTTACAAGTGACTGGCCCTGGAAACAGCCTTTGAACCACCTGGGAAGTCACATGGTAGACCAGGAGGTGGGTGGGGTAGCCGTGCCCAGGCAGGCCACTTGCACTGGGCCAGATTTGGGCTCTGAGGGTACACATACAGGTTTTGGTTACTTTGGGGCCTTGAACTAGGTGCTGCCTACCACCTAATCTCCAAAATCCTCTCTGTAGAAGGAACAGGGCCAGACCACATCCATCAGTGGCTGTGTAGAGCTCTGGTAGGGAGTGTACCTGATCAGTCCCTGGGTTGGTCCATTCCACAGAGCTATCAAGGGAAACCCTGCAGAGCTACCAGTCACAGCTGTGGCTAACTCATTTAATACATTCAGAACTGGCCACGTTAGCAGTGAGATTTTCCCTGTGAAGTTCCCCATGAGAACTCACACCCAGTATGTGGTGTCCACCACTATAAAATACTCAGGTGGGGTGGGGGAGAGCTAAGTTGGTGAAGTGTTTGCTATAAAAGCATGAGGACCGAGTTTGACTCCCAGCACCCACATAAAACAGCCAGGTGAGGTGGCATGTGGAGAGCTGTGCTTTGTTGGCCCAAAAGATGGCGCCGGCTTCTGCCTCCCACCATCCCGAGGGTGAGAGCTCTTTGTGTTGGACAATTTCTTATCTGGCTAAGGCTGGGCTTCAGGCCTGCTTCCGTGTATGTGGACCCTTCTGCTTTCGCCACGTGGCAGTCTGGGGTGGGCTGCCAAGGGCCTTTTAAGCAGAAGGTCGGGTTTCCTCGGGGCCCCCAGAAGAAGATTGTACAAGGCTCCTGAAATAAACTGCAGGAAGAAGAGTTCCCGAGTTGTGTCTTTCTTGCTGGTCAAGATAGGTGCAGCAGTGGCACATGCTTGTAATCTCAGGGCTGGGACTTGGGAACAAGGGGACTGGGGGGTTCTATGCCAGTGAGACCCTGTCTCAAATGAAAATGTAGATGGTGCCAGGAGTTGGTGGTGCACGCCTTTAATCCCAGCACTCAGGAGGCAGAGGCAGAGGCAGGTGGATCTCTTTGAGTTCAAGGCCAGCGAGTTCCAGGATAGCCTCCAAAACAATACAGAGAAATCCTGTCTTGAAAAAAAAGAAAGAAAGAGGTAGATGGCATCCGAGGAACAACACTTGAAGCTGACCTCTAGTGCCCACACACACACAAATCTTGGTGGCAATGCAAAAAAAAAAAAAAAAAAAAGGCTCATTTCCCTTACAGTGGTCTGGTTACGATCTTTTTTATTTCTTTATGCTTTTTACCTCAAAAAGTTGTCACTAACATCAACCTTCCTGGCAAGGAGACATTGATAAAAATCTAGCTTAAGTGTCTTGGGAGGTCAGAGAAGTGGCAGTCTGGAAGGAATGGTCAGAGAGCCACACCTGAGCAGCTGCCTGGGCATGGGGGTTGAGTGCTAACATTGCTATAATCATTGCAATGATCACCACTGTTCCTACCCATCACCCCAGAATGGCTGATCCAGGACATGTACTATCCCTCATGCAGGGCTCACACGAGTGTCCTGTCCCTCCTTGCCACACCAGAGCCTGCTTGTGATCATGGTGACATTTTCATGTCCAATTCTTTCTGACCAGGCACAGCTGGGACCCTCCCAGGAGTCTGGCACTGACTAATGGGTTAAGTCACTCTCTTGCCTCCTGTTCTCTGTTTGGGAACATGTCCTTGTTCAAGAAAGGCCTTCCCCTCTGAATTTCCTTGGTGGCTGTGGTACTCCTCGCTATGGACTTGGAAGTCTGCGGCTGCTCACTCTCACACCCTTTCTCTCAGGCTGTGTCTTTCACCAAGTCCTGACCAGTTGCTTCCTAGGTGTGGGAACTGAGCTCCAGATTCAGTCGAGTAGGAAAGACCTGTCTGTGCAGGGAAGGGTAAGGGTGTTGGTACAGAGGGGCAGTGTCAGGATGTGAAGGCCCAGACGGTGTGGCAGGGTGGAGTTAGGAGGAGGCTCGTAAGGGTTGGGAAATGGAAAAGATATTCCTGGAAGCCATGTGGCCCCTTGTTCCAAAAAGGCCCGCAGAGGGAGCGAGTGGTGTGGCAGATAGGCCTTAGCTGTCAAGATACTTATTTGGTCAGAATCTCAACTGTGTGAAAATCATATAACTAGCATGAAAGACTTGTAGCTGGGATCCAGGTGTAGTAACCTGGCAGTCTGTTAGTTAACAGGTCTAGAATCATCTAGGATATAAATCTCTGGGCACATCTGAGAGTCTGAGTTTCTAGACTCTAGGTTAACTGAGATGCTAAGACCCACTCTAAATGTGGGCAGCAGCATCCCATGCACTGGGGTCCTGGAACAAATAAACAGGAGAAATGTGAACTGAGTACAGGTTCATCTGTTCGATTTCTGATAGCAGATGCAATGTAACCCCTCCCTTACTCTCCTGCCACCATGCCTTCCCTGCCATGATGGACTGCGCACCTCAAAACTGTGAGCCAAGAGAAGTCCTTCCTCCCTTAAGTTGTTTTTGTCAGGCGTTCTGACACATCTAAAGAACTAATCTGGAGCTATTGGGTGCTAAAGAGCAGAGCTCGGGCCTCCTCCTGTCTCCCTCCTGTTCAAACTACCAAAGGACATGTGCTATATCCAGTACCCTTAGTAGGAAACACAGTCCAGGGCAAGATTAAGACAGGGTTAGCCTCTCTCCAGATCTCTAAAATATCAACCTGTGGTGGGGGCTGGGTCTTCAGTGAGGCCTGGCTTCTTCCTGGCCAGCTGACCCCTGTACCCATCTGTCCCTCATATCCCTTACCCAACTGGGCAACTCATCTTTCAAGACTCATGACTCTGCAGAAGTGTTCGAGGCCTGTGCAATCTTCTTGCTGTCATGTCTCTCCTATTAGACGAAGAGCTCTCTGAGGGAGAGATCCCATCTCTGCCATCTGTCTCTCTGCACCCCAGGCTGGGGACAAAGTTCAGTGTACACACAGTAGTCAGTATGTTTGCCACACTCATCTTTCTGTAATATACATGTTTTTCTTCCCATAGTATACAAGTCACCTCAGGTGCATTCACCTCTGTGTTTACATTTTCCAATGGAGGAACTAGCCCAGAATGGTCTTTTGAAAATAAGTCACAAAAGCTCTGAGGAGTGGACTGGTGAGATAGCTCAAGTGGCTAAAATAACCTGCTGCTGAGAACAATGGCCGGATCCAGTCCAGAGGATCTACATGGTGCAGAGCAAGAACCGACTCCTGAAAGTTGTCTTCTGATCTCTACTACAAGTGCATCATGGCACACATGTTATCACACACACACACACACACACACACACACACACACACCCAAGCACTGTAACAACAAGGTCTAAGAACTGCATCCTAGGAGATTCACCAAAAGCATAGGAAAAAGACTAGTCCCAGGTAATTTCCCCAGCAGTCATTTGTCTAAAAAGGAGGGCTCCATCATCCCTCAGTTTCCCTCTATCCATGAGGTTGCTCTAAGGCCAAGTGCAAGAGCTCACTAGTGAAGAACTGGGCTCCAGGCTTGTGGCAGGAAATAGGCTTCTTTTCCACTTGGCCCAGCAGCAAGACTGCTGTGGAGACACTAGCTCTATGCTTTGAAACACCACCATGTACAGCTACCACAGCACACTAGAGGCCATGAGGTAGGATTCTGCCGCCCCTGTGTTGTCTTTGTTGCTGTTGTGGTGGTGGTGGTAGTACAGGGGATTGATCCTGGGGCCTCATTCG